TTAATGAGTAAGACAACAAACTTTTCTTTGTTAAGGTTTTAAGAAAACACAAATGAAAGAGCCGTCATTGTCAAAAATTGAGTCAGTAATTCACGACATACATTCATCTGATTTAAATAACTCATATCAGTTAATATATTTTACTTATCTATTAATTTAAAAAGATAAATATTTAAAATGTTTTGGAAATCTCTGAAGAATTTATATGTCAATGCATTTTTGGCTACTAATTTGGAATAATTTTTAAAGAAATTTAATCTCCTCGTTTCTAATATGAGGCTTTAATTCCCCATTTTTATTTTTTCAATTTTAATGATCAAATGTTATTTTTGTAAATTTTATTATTTTTTTAATCTAGCTAAATCAACAATATCACACTATAAAATAAAATTTAAAATATTATCAAAAAACATAAAACAACTTTTAAAAAAATTGAATCATCTTAAAAATCATAAAACTTGTAAAACAGTAAAATCTCTTTTCGATTAAACACGTAAAATATATTGTAAAATCTAAAACATAATATAATTTTATTTGTTTTTAATATTTCAAATAACAATATCAATATTGATAGGTTAAATATTTTTAACTTAGTTCAAACTTGACATTACTTTGTCTATGAAAAATAATCATAATTAAATATTTTAAAAGGAATTTTATAAGAAAAATATGTATATTCTTAGTAGGAATATTCATAGTATTGTTTTAATTAGTTTAGAGGTAAAAATTTGAATCAATTTTATTTAGATTATATTGAAATAATTTTTAGATATTTGACTTTATAAATTATACTTTTTTAATTAATAGTAATACTATAAATATGTGGTAAAATAATAAATCCATTTTAAATTATAATATATAATGTATTAAAATTTGATGTGATATATAAAATGTATTAATCATATCAAAAACCTATAACGGAAAATAAAAATTAAATTAAATTAATAAATATATCCGTAATAATCAAATTGATATATATATATATATTATATATATATATATATATATATATATATATATATATATATATATATATATATATATATATATATATATATATATATATATATATATATATATATATATATATATATATATATATATATATATATATATATATATATATATATATATATATATATATATATATATATATATATATATTATATATATATATAATATATATATATATATATATATTATATATATATATATATATATATATATATATATATATATATATATTATATATATATAATATTATAAATACATTAATAATTTAAAATTTTAACTTAATTATAAAGCAAAAATATCTAAAAATTATTTCAATATAATCTAGTAATATATATATATCGGATAATATTGAAAAAACTCACTGATAATATTTAATTACAAACATTTTAATGTTTTTTATAAATAAAAATGATATTTTAAATTAATTAGATAACTAGTAATATATTTAAAAAGTATAAAAGTTATTTTAATATTTAAAAGTTGTTTATACTAATAAAGAGTGAAGTCAATATTAAATGAAAAAAGTTTAGAACAATAGAAGATGCCTCGATAAAGCCAAATATCACAAATGGCAGACATGCCCATGAATCTGATTTCGGTTTTCAGCTTCATTATTGTGTTAGCTGAGTCAGCATTGTACTATTACATATTATTAATGTTGCTCTTATATGCAATTATATAATAATAACTATCCTAATTATAATATTCTACGCATGCGTGTGTTAATATATGACTTGTGAATATTTTATTTTCTTGTCTTATAAATAAGTAATTATTATATGGTGTTTCATGTCCTTTTTTTTAAAATTAAATTTAGGGTCACAGATAGATTAGTCACCTTAACTGTCTTAAAATAGTTTCAGATGCAATATGGTACCCCTATTTTTACCAATTTACAAATTTATTTCATGTATTTCTAGATCAATGATTGTCTCTCATTTATTAATTTTTCTTACTTCATTCTTATCATTTGTAGAACTATATTATCTACCAGATAGTCAACCGTTTAGTTTAATAATATGTTTTAAAAGTGACTATTAACCTTTGAATGTTTTTACATGAAAAACAAATATATAAATTGTATATGTGTCGAACCATTTGTTTTAGATTTTAAAAAGATGTTTTCTTTAGGTTAAAAATAATTTTTATGAAAATTTAGATAAAAAAAATAAAAATCATGTTAAACTCATTATGTATTATTTAGTATCTTAAATAGGAATTGTTACAAATTTTTATATAATCAAATTTTAAAAATAATATGTTCTTAAAACTATTTCAAAGAAAAACTATTCAAATTTAAATATTTTTAAGATTCCATATAAAAAATATTTAAATATAAAAAGATAGAACGTCTAAAAATATATTTTTGAAGTAATATATAAATATAAATATTATCAGACGAAAAAAAGTATGTCGATCCTTAAACTTTTTAAAGATGTCACTTTTGTGTTTCAAAATGTAATCTCATACTCTTTCTTGTATTAAAAAAATTATCAAAATATTGAGAAATTATAAACCACCCAGTAAATTTCTTCTCTTGTCAAATCCTGAAAATGAATGAACGGTCTACTAGAATTACACACATAACTCGCAAACTTAATTCTAAGTTGTTTGCCTAGTCCCAAAATAGTCACAAAATTCTATTTTGTTTAATTTGTCACATCCTAGAAAAACTTGATTAGCTAATTCAACCAAACCTCTTTCACTAACCTACCTTAATCTCAAATGCCATATTTTGATTTTATTATGGAAAAGTATTTAAGACCCTTTAGCAATTAAAAATGAACCATGGAAAATTTTCAATACATCAAATATAGTTCTAATTTATTAGCCTAATTCAACAAACATTCTTTTAGACATTAAATTTCACTTAAGCTTAGGAACATATATCACGTTGCATGAATGAAACCCACTATTGTCAAACATTTTGAGTTGAATTGTCCTAATACCATGAAATTTTCAAGACTAGCTATTAGGAGTCGAACAACTTCATCTTTTTTAGCTCCAAAATCTCAAAACTTGCATTCCTTGAACGTATATGATAAGAGCATCTATCCAACCACAACTTGAACATAATTACTCTTCCTCTCCCTCACAAGACGATCCTTCTTGAATTGACCGTTTTATTAATAATTGAATCACTTGTACGTCGACTTGTCAAATTCCTTGGACTTAGATTTACGCAAAGAATTCTTTCCATTTTGGTTTTCTTTACTCTTACTCCTTGATCTTGATACATTCAAGTTATCTCTATTATCGTCAATCTTCAACTTTTTCATATTGTTTAAATTTTTGCTTCTTATAGACGATTATAACTCCTCCAATTTGATAGTGTCTACCTTACCATGAATAATGACATTTTTAAATGCTTAAAGGACTTGGGTAATAAGCTTAACAAGACTAGAGTTTTCTCTTCATTGTCAAGTTCCACTTCAATGTATTACAAGTCATTAACAATTTTGTTAAATTTTTTCAATTACTCCATAATAAATTTGTCTTTTACCATTCGAAACGAATAAAGCTTTTATTTCAGACATTATTCAATTAGACGAAGATTTGATCATATATAATTATTCAAACATGACTCGTATCATTTCAATCGTGGTCTTTTATCACCTAAGCACAAGATAATTGTACTTGTCGGTATTCTATGTTTGTCTTATGCTTGCTAACATCATTATCGGGCAATTTAATGATTCTACACATTTTCATCAAATCAAAATTACTTACATTTTTTGTTTTTACCTATCAAAATTGTTATTTTCAGATTAATTCTCCATATTCGTCATAAAATAAATATTTATGTTATTGATGTCATATTTAGAAAACTCTGATTATTTATTATTTATATTTTTCATTAACCGTAAATGTCAATTTTACCATAACTGTCAAAATCCCAAAAGGAAATGTATTGTGAAATTTTGAGAGAGGTATAAATGACATGAAAACTAAAATAATTTTAACATAGTTTTGCAGTATCATTACGACTAAATTAATTCCTAGAATAGAAAATCAGTATAAATGATTTATATACTCATGTTTTTGTTGAAACGTACGAAGTAATAATGCAGTTTTCCATATATGCAGGTAAAAGAAGAGTTGAAAGCACTCGCAAAGATTGCAGGTCCGATAACAATGACAAACCTAATGATGCATTCTCGATCGGCAATCTCAATGTTATTCCTTGGTCGTCAAGGAAGAGCAGAGCTAGCTGGGGGTTGCCTAGCCCTTGGTTTCGCCAACATCACCGCAACTTCAGTTCTCAAAGGTCTAACAATGGGAATGGATCCAATTTGTTGTCAAGCATATGGAGCCAAAAGATGGTCAGTTCTAAACCAAGCACTTTTGAGAACACTATGTCTCCTCCTAGTTGTTACAATCCCAATTTCACTTTTATGGCTTAACATGGAACCACTACTTCAATTACTAGGTCAAGACCCTAGTGTCACAAAAGTTGCACAAATTTACATGCTATACTCAATTCCTGAATTATTTGCTCAAGCATTTCTCAATCCATTAAGAACTTTTTTAAGAACTCAAGGCTTAACAGCACCAATTACTATGGCTGCATCATTTGCAGCACTATTACACCTACCAATAAATTATTTCCTAGCTACTTATTTGAAATTAGGTGTAAAAGGTATTGCATTAGCCACCGGAATGAACTCAATAAACATGACATTAGGAATGTTGGTTTATATTATTTTTTCAAATAAACCACTTAAGCCATGGCAAGGTGTTACAATATTTGGCTCTATTTCTCATGGATGGAAACCGTTTCTTGGTCTTGCAATTCCTAGTTGTCTTTCGGTTTGTTTAGAATGGTGGTGGTATGAGATAATGCTTTTTCTTTGTGGTTTGTTGAGTGATCCTCAAACTTCAGTTTCAACAATGGGAATACTTATTCAAACACTTGGTTTTCTTTACGTGTTTCCGTATTCACTTAGTGCATCTTTGACAACGAGAATTGGTCATTCGTTAGGGTCAGGAGAAGCCTCACGTGCAAAAGGAACCGCTATAATTGGGATTTTGATAGCGGTTTTACTTGGGATTTTGGCTTTTGTTGGACTGATTTTAGCAAGAAAAAATTGGGGGAGATTATTTACGGACGAGGTACAAATTATTGATATGATAAGAAAAGTACTTCCGATTTTAGGGTTATCTGAAATTAGCAATTGGCCACAAACGGTATCATGTGGGATTTTAGCTGGAACCGCGCGTCCTTATGTTGGTGCTAGAATTAACTTGTGTGCATTTTATTTAGTTGGGTTACCAGTTTCAATTTTTGCTAGTTTTGTGTACAAATTTGAATTGGTAGGTTTGTGGTATGGAATGTTGGCAGCACAAGTTTCATGTGTTTGTATGATGGTGTATACTTTGGTTCAAACAGATTGGGGACAACAAACTAAAAGAGCGTTGGAGTTGGCTCAAAAATCAACACAACAAGAAAGTGTCATTGATGAAGAAAGTGTGTTGCTTGATTCTCTCTAAGTGATTGTTTGGATCAAATGCTCGATCGGCATAAACTAATGATCAAATGCGCGCGATCGTGGAAGCTACATCATCATAGTGTGTCCAAGTGTTTGTCGTCGCGATTCCAACATGTTGTAAGATTGATAATGCTATTAGCAACACATTTTTCCCCTTCAAATTATATTTTATTAATAGGTGAATTTCATGTTAATTTCATTACAAAAAACTAAATCATATTTGTTTATTGAAATTCATGAAATTTTCCTTATGAGAAAATTGTGGAATTTGAAGAGTTTGCTTTTAACATTGATATGTAAGTTAGTGAATGAGATTTTGAAATTTCAATATCTTTTTGTGTAGTTGTGGTAGTCCTTATAATTTTTATTTATTGTTCATTCTTTGTAATAGGCAATGCAATTGACAAACTTGCTGGTTATTAATTATTTCCCATGATACATATATATTCACTCTTGTGTGCATAAGAAAAGCAAGTTGCATTGTGGTGAACACTCGTTCGCAATCAAGCTTGAATGAATTATTTTTTGGATTAAATAGCATTTATTTGACTCCTTTCTACGAGGTAGTGTGTAGACACCTTGAATTCCTATGCATTAAGATCCTTCCTAAAATTCATATTAGTTTAATATTGAAGAGATTCCTTGTTTAAGAATTGAATTTTCAAGGGTAATATACATCGATTTTACAGAGACTAAAATAAAAAATAAAAAAAAAAGGATTTAAAAGAAAATAAACAATATTTTCAACTAAAACTAAACAAAATAAACTACATACTAAAATAAAAGTCATATATTTGGGAGTAAATAATATTTAAATTAATTTTATTTTATATTAGTGACTTAAAAAAATGAATTGAGAGAATATTAAAATTTATGAACATATAACAATTTATCACACTTAATTTCATTTCTAAAAAGATTTTATAACTACCTTTTAAATTTAAAATAGTAAAACAAAATTTCTCATCAGATCCACATTTGTCCTTTGATGATAGTCCACCATTTCATGATTTTAGTAGTAGCTTTTTTTCCCAGTATTTTTACTTTTAATTCATTTTTATAGAATTTAAATAAAGATATATAAAAAAATAAATTCAACCATCTTAACAGAACAAATTTTATAATATTTTATTATAGAAGTAACGATGATAAAGTATAGAGATGACTAACACGCAAGAAATAAACAAAAAAGAAGAGAGTCGTAGAAAAGAGCAAATAATGGCACTATAGACACTATAATAAAAATATATTTTAAAAAGGTTTTTTTTACATTAGTTGTACATAAATTCGAAATAAAACTTTAAAATTGGGCGTCTTCTTTTTTATTTTATTTTTTATATATATAATTTTTAACTGAAAAGTAAACTACATTTCTCTTTGGTTGGAAGGTCAAATTTAGGGGGAAAACTTAACAATAAGTTAACAAGTCATGGAAAAAATAAAATTTACCTCAGTTGCATCTCTCAACAGGGAAATGGCCAGATCCGTCTACAATAGTTTATAATCTCTAGTTTATTTAACCCCAAATCAGATAAGACATATTTAATAAAAAGGTCAAATTTAAATTTTTTTTAAAAGACGATTTTATTAAATAGATCAATATATATATATATATATATATATATATATATATATATATATATATATATATATATATATATATATATATATATATATGTCAGCCTATAAGACTTTTTAAGTAATATAGATTAATTGAAAACTTTAATGAAAAATAGACTTTTACATATGTTTTCAAGACAGTTCAGACTTTTAAAAAGGTCATATCAGGTTAAAAAGAGAGCCTATAATAGACCGTAGACCAGATTCAGACCTTTTAAGTTTATCGTAGGACATACTCAGGCCTTCTAAAGTCTAGCCTAGCCTAGCCTATTTCCACCATTACTCTCAGTCGAAAGAAAAAACATAAAAGGTCATGGATTCAAGTCCTAACGACAACTATTTTGTATTTTGTTTATTAAATAAAGGCTCTTTTTATTTTTAAATGAAAAATATATTACATTATCACTTGATTGAAATTACCAACCATTTTAGTTTTTCTAAGGTATGTATAACGCTCTACTCTACGTTCTTTAACTCTTGCATTTTCATTAATGAAATTCTAAACAAACTTGTTTTCTTTTACCTTCAACTTTATTTTCCATCCACTAAACTAAACTCAAAAACACAATTTAAAGCATAAACGAAACTCGAAATTATCATTTCTTCCATTAACAATTTTGGGATCTTTATCATCTCTGCTCTAACTCTAACGAGACAATGAGAGTATGGATTCAACTTAACAATATAAGTTGTTTTATTATTGTTGTGTGAGGTAATATTCAATGTTGTGGTTGTTGTTTAGATTTATTTATTTATTTAAAACAAAACTTTCATAGATAAATAAGATTGTTACAAAAGCAAAAGTTAAAAATTTGAAAAACGGAAGAATGACATGCCAATCCTATCCTTTACAACTATATGCCCTAATGAAATCGGGAAGATTTTCCTAGATGATGGAACCTATTGTAATAATATAGCAAGTGTGAGTAAGTAGGGAAATAGTCCTACATTGGATAGGAATGTGGAGACTTAAGCATATATAAGTGGGAGAACCCACTCACCTATCACCTTAAGGTTTTAGGTGGATAAGTTGTGTGTCTCTCACAAATGTGCCTAGTCCTACACTATGCATCAATGCTCCTAATAATCTTCCCCCAACATGGTGTAGGACTAGACACATTTGTGAGAGATACACCACTTATCCACCTAAAACCTTAAAGTGATAGGTGAGTGGATTCTCCCACTTATATATGCTTAAGTCTCCACATTCCTATCCAATGTGAGACTATTTCCCTACTTACTCACACTTGCTATATTATTACAACAATCCCCCTCAAGTGTGAGTCAACAATGCTTCCCCACTTGTACCGCTATTGACATCTTGCAACGGAACACCACTTCCTGGACACATTTTGATACAAGTCTCTTCCGGTCCCTTTCTCGAACCAAAGACTCATGATACCATGTTGGGGGGAGATTATTAGGAGCATTGATGCATAGTGTAGGACTAGGCACATTTGTGAGAGACACACAACTTATCCACCTAAAACCTTATGGTTTTAGGTGGAGAAGTGGTGTGTCTCTCTCAAAGGTGCTTGTTCCTACACTATGCATCAATTCTCCTAATAATCCCCCCAACAGAACCTTGACCTTGGAGACCGAAGTTAGCAAGGTAATCCGCGCAGGAGTTTCCCTCACGATAGATATGGGTTATGGAGAAGTGCATGTGATGGAGCAGGGTTTGACTGCTCTTGAGATACCAAGGCACCATAGAACTATTCCTGAAAGCCATGACAACAAGAGTGGAATCTGATTCTACCCAAAGATTTTTCCAATTATACCTGAATGCAATTTTTATAGAATTGAGCACACCAGATATCTCTGTAGAAACAGATTAGAATAGGTTGAGTTTCTCTACAAATTTGTCCACAAAGGCCCATTGAGTGTTCCTGAACACTCCACCACACGCAACATCATTATTCGTTCTAGCACCATCTATATTACATTTCCACCAACCAACAATAGGCAGACACCAAATAACCTTTGTGATGGTAGGAGACTTAGCTGGGTGAATCCTGATATCCAATTTCTTTAAGATGATGAAGCCAGGCATGGAATTTTGATAGGTGAGATTTGTGGAGTTACCCGTTAAAACCACTTTTCTCTTTATGGTACTGATGGCGCTGTTCCAATTACTGATTTTGTTATTGAAACTTGCAGCATTTCTAGAACTCCAAATAATGTTGATCATGTTGATTATGCATGCTTCTATGACTATCTTGACTTGGGGGTCCAAATTCTTTCACAAATCAACCAAGTGATATTATGTTGTGATGTAGATTTAAACATGTATGCTTCCTTTAGGGTTATATCTCCATTGTCTGTGTGTTTCCAATATAGCCAATCTGTACAAGGTGACATAGGAATATGAATTGTTTTAATACGATTTTAAAGAGTAAGGAGTTGTGTGCAAAGTTCATAGGGTATGTTCCATTGGTTATTCTCTAAAATGTCACAAACTTTTAACTTGTATCTGTTTCTCAAATTCTGGGGAATCTGTAATATATCATCTAAGGGGTGATTTGCACACCAATAATTTGACCATAACTTTATAGAACAACCATTACCCAAAAGAAACTTGGAGTTTTCCTGAACCACCTTGTATTCTGCCTTAATGTTACTCCAACAAAAAGATGAAATGTGATGTTGGATAGGAAATGGATCTCTTAAGACCCTTCTCCTAAGAACCAAAGCCCAGGGTCCTGAGAATTGACCATTTCCCAACAGAGTTTAGTAGCAGAATTGAGAGATGAGAGGCTTCTGATGCTTAAACCACCATGAGAGTATGGTTTACAAACCTTTTTCCAGGCCAATGTGACTAATTTCCTTTGAGAGGTGTCTCTTGACCAAATAAAATTCCTATTCCATCTATTCAAGTATTTAAACAAAGCAAAAGGACAAGAATAAATAAACATATAATGAATGAGCATGCACTGCACTACTGACCTGACCCGTTATACTCAGCAAGTCATTGAGAGAAGATAAGCTTTCCATCCAGCTAATTTTGATTTAATTCTATCTGCAATAGGCTGGAGGTGTATGGTTTTTAACTTCCCTTTAAATATAGGCACCTCTAAGAAGTAAAAAGGGAAAGATCCAATCTTGAAACCTATGAAGTTGGCAATACTTTGAATCCTAGACTGAGAGATAGAACTTGTAAAAATAGTAGATTTGTTAGGATTAACCACTTGGCCATAGGCCATGGCATAGTTGGTGAAAAGGTCCCTTAGAGCCACCATGTTCCTGAAATTCCCTTTGCAATATATCATGATGTCATCTACAGACAAGCAATGAGAAGGAAACATGACATTCCTTGAGGCTTTGATTAGTTGGAGTTTCCCACTATCAACAAGATTGGTAATACCTCTACTTAACACCTCC